TTCTTCTTACAGAGCTTTTGAAATATTTTATTTATTATTATTAATAGTATCGTGTGTGTGTGTGTGTGTGTGTGTGTGTGCGCGTGTATGTAATGTGTGTGCATGAATACATAATCCACATGTAGGGGTCTAGGCAAGTTGGTTCTTCCCTACTAACTTGGTTGTCAGGGATGGGACTGGGGTCATCAGGCTTGGCAGCAAATGCTTTTACCCACCGAGCCCTATCTCTGGAGTAAGGCTTTGCTTTGGGTCATTATTACAGTCGTATGTAGGGTAGCTTTCCAGGACACAACACCCATGTAGTCATTCGACTCCATGTTTAAGAAGACGCCATAGTTGGTTTAAAGCTTCCTGGTCACTCTCCTGTGACATTTCATTTCATACTGGAGCCCAAATGCTAAGGGGCTTGTCCTGGTCTGGTGAGGGAAGAAGAACAGGTACATCCTACATCCCCATTCCTAAATCAAGACATCAAAGACAAAACAGGCCAAAGTCTTCCCCAACCTACTACTCATAAGTACCTAAAATTCTAGCTCCTCGACCCGCAGCTTCAAAACTAATATTTGGTCTGATTCATCTTTGTGTGCCCACAGACCTGACACCAGGAACTGCTCCACCCTCCCCGTCATGAGCCCCTCACCCTGTTTGTATCACACGATGTACCCCTGCTGGTGAGAGCTGATATCCAGGCTAGACTGGGCTGTTTTCCCTGAGAATCTAGAGGTGGCCCCTAAGGTGACAACAGCAGGGACCAAAATGACCCAACTGGAGGAGTAGCTTGGTCACAGTAATTCTGGTTCCAGTGTGATCAGATAAGAGGAATCCGGCTGCGTCTCCCACTCTTCCCCAGCACATGGGCAAGAGATAGTCATCAGAAAGATTAGGGACACCACCTCACCTGACCTCAGCTCTGATGAAAACCTGTCAGACCTGCTGGACATAAGCATCACCTGAGACCAGAGAGAGTCCTGGCCTGGCTGACATCTTTTTGTTTTTTGTTTTTTGTTTTTTTTTTTCAAGACAGGGTTTCTTTGTAGCTTTGGAACCTGTCCTGGAACTAACACTTGTAGACCAGGCTGGCCTCGAATTCACAGAGATCTGCCTGTCTCTGCCTTCCAAGTGCTGGGATTAAAGGCATGCGCCACCACCACCCTGCGCTGACATCATTCCTTACCTGCTGCTCTAGCATGATCTCCGGCACCCAAGTGGTGCTTCCCCTAGGCCTCACGCTCTTTTAAGTGCTTCACTTTATTTAATTATCCCAACAGTACCATCCACATACCATCATCCACGGTGTGTAGTAGAAAAGTGAGACACAGAGGGGTTATACAACACACCCAAAGTCACACAGTATTGGGAGAGCTTGGGTTTGAACCCAGAAGACACTGGCTGCAGAATCTAGGTTCTTAACCCTCACAAAGTGCCTTTCCAAGGTATTGCACCATATATAACTCCCAGAGTATTGCTTTGTGCATTAGCTTCCATTTTTCAAAAGTCTCAACTGCTTGGAGTCAAAATGGTCTTTAGAACAGTCAAACCGTGCTATAGAGATTTGCACTGGTATGTGTAGGGCGCCAAGGCGCCACAACCCTGCTGTTATTTCCAGCCTCTCAAGCAGCTTCGGCCCCGCCCCGAAGCACTTGGCGCGCTTTCCCGAATGGCGCGATCTAGCCACCAATCGTGAGCTGATGTGTAAGATCAGGAGCGGCCAGAGCCATTCAGACTCGGACACGTCTCAGGCTTTGTTCTGCACGGCTTATAAACCGTGCGTGCCAGGGTCCGGGGTCCTTCGCCATCAACCTCAAGTTTGTACGCTCCCAATAAAAGTACGTTCTGAGAAGAATCCTGTTGTGGTCGTCTCTTCTGCTGGCGGACGCGGCGTGCCACAGGTATGGATCTTGGTTTATTGATATAAATTTAAGGTCAATTTTGTTATACGTATATTTCTGCTCTTTTTAAATTTATTTTTTCTAAAAATATGGAACACTTCACGCATTTCCATGTCATCCTTGCGCAGGGGCCATGCTAATCTTCTCTGTATCGTTCCAATTTTAGTATATGTGCTGCCGAAGCGAGCACATGTTTCTGCTCTTCATTAAAGTATTGTGATTGTGCAGCTCATTTAAAAATGTAATGTAAAGAAAGCAAAGAAAGCCAGCCTACAAACCACAGTCCCAGAGAACTTAGATAACAATGCGGACACTAAGAGAGATATACATAGATCTAATCTACACGGGAAGTAGAAAAAGGCAAGATCTCCTGAGTAAATTGGGAGCATGGGGACCTTGGGTGAGCATTGAAGGGGAAAGAGGAGAGGCAGGGAGGGGAGCAGAGAAAAATGTAGAGCTCAATAAAAAAATACAAAACAAAAAACATAAAGTAATGTATAATTAAAAATATAGGTTAATAGATAGTCATCTATAATAGTCAAGATTATAGTCATGTTAGTTAGATTTTCTAGATATATAGAGATATATTTCAATTAGTTAGGTATTCTTCAAACCTTTCAGAGACATTCAGAATATGGCATTTATCTATTTTAAGAACTTAAGACTTTTTATGACAATGAGACACATCTGCTCCTGGCAGTACCAATCTACTTCAAAAGGAAGATGGGCATCAAAGAGGCTCCTTATGGAGCTGGTTAGCCATTTAGGCAAGAAACTGCTCCTGTCTGGACTGCTTAACAGACATGCAGGACCCACTGAGAAATGACTGCTGAAGTCGCCTAAAGGTGAGATGATCCTTCAGGGTTCCTGCTTCATGAAAGAGTCTGTCAGACATTCTGCAGGACACACACACACAAAAAAAATGACTGACAAACTGCCAATATAGGCGGAACTGTCTTTGAAATTTCCTGCTTCATGAAAGAGTCTGCCAGATACTATGGGCCTGGGGACTGAAGATGGATGCTCCCATGGTACAAAGGAACTTTGGGTGACTATCTAGGCAATGAGATGTCTCTGTCAATTCTAGAGTTTTGGAAGTTGCTTACAATGTACTTCCTGTTTACTTGGGTAATATCATATCCTTCTGAAGTCTTTGATGGAGTTGAAGAATAGATACTTATTATTATAGCTTTCCTTATTTATGATAAAAGATAAAGTAGATATATATATAAATATTATAACTGTAATTCTTGCTTGACAACTGCTTTGTTATATGTAATTTTACTATGTTAAAGTTAAAGCCTTCCTTTTTGTTTAAACAGAAAAGGGGAAGGCCCTTCTGTCTATGTGTTGCTTTTATTGGTTAATAAATAAAGGAACTGCTTTGGTCCTATAGCAGAGCTGTAGGGGAACAGAGCTAGGAGGCAAAAACTAAACAGAATGCTGGGAGGAGGAAGGCAGAGTTAGAGAGAAGCCATGGAGCCGCCAGAGACAGACATGCTGAAACTTTGCTAGTAGGCCACAACCTCATGGTGATATACAGATGAATAGAAATGGGTTAAATCAGTATGTAAGAGTTAGTCAGTAAGAAGCTAGAGCGAATGGGCCAAGCAGTGATTTAAGTGAGTATTTTGGGTCTAAGCCAGCTGGGCGGCCCAGAAAAACAAGTGGCCTCAGCCAGGATGAACAAGCAGCTCCTCCCACTACAAAACCATGTGTTACAAGGTCCAGACAAAGTCTGAACACAGAACTCTGATGCCAGTCAGTACACGCTTGTTTTCCCTCCTCCCTCTCCCCCTGTGATCCTGGAAACTGTCCCTAGCTAAATGACACCCCAAATCACAGACTCCTCCCAGGGTACAGCTTTTAGCCTGTTAATTCTGGGTTCATTCATTCCCACAGTTCTGATTCCAAGGAGGAAAGGTCCCCAACACACCAGGCTCTTGGCTCTCACACCTGGTGTGTGCTCAGGACACGCACAATCAATAACACTGTCAACAGGGCAGTGGACCAAAGGAACCATCCTGGAGGACGCGGGAAGCCCAGTGTGGAAATGCATCCCTTGCGTTTGTCCCCCCACAGCTCCTCTTATGAGCACAGGGGAGAAAGTGTTAAATCCACTCAGAACTCTCTATCTCCCTCTTCAACTATTCTGTGTTCCACACAGGGTTCTGGACCAAATCAAGTCCTAGTGCCTACATGGTAAGTGCCTTACCAACTGACCCATCTTCCCAGCCTCTAAGTGATTTTTAAAAATCTATAAATGAATTTCTTTTCTTTTTGGTATATTTTTATAGTAAAATATATTATATAAAAAAGTGAATTTCATATGATATCTTCATATATATTGGTGACATATTTATCTCCATCCCCATTGCTTCTTCCCCTCCTGCTGGTCTCCTTCCTCTTCCCAAATTCTAAACAGTGGTTATTGTTTTAAATACACACGTACATACACACACAGAGTACACACACAATGTGCACTCATGCATTTGGTCACACATGTGCACTCAAGCATGTGTGCAATGGACACACAAACACACACAATGCAAAGGAAACAAAGTACACCAAATCCACATCCTCTAGAATCATTAACAAAAACAAATTACACATTTATAAGATTTTAAAACCAAATTCGTTTTTGTTTGTTTGTGTTCTCTTGTTGGTTTTTTAGACAGGGTCTCTCTATTTAGTCCTGGCTGTTCTGGAACTTGCTCTGTAGAATACACTGAGATCCCTTTGCCTCTGCCTCTGCCTCTGCCTCCAGAGTGCTGGGGTTAAAGATGTGTGCCCCATGCCTGGCCCACCAATTCATTTTAAATTCACTGTTAAAACTGTCTTTCTCTATAACACTAAGAAGCCAGTGTTTCAGAAAAGAACAAAAATGTTTCCCCCAGGGCATTTTTGTGACAGTAGAGCTGTGGACACGTACCATGACTCAATGTCACTGTTGAGGGACTTCACATCTAGATCCAAACAACAAACTAACAGCCTGCTGGCTGAACTCTCAGAGGCTACACACCTGGAGGCTCTCTGTATCGCCCACACCCACCACAAGTGTCCAGGAAACGGAAAAGATGAGGTGAGGCGTGCACACTTGCTTGTACACTTGCTTTAGAAAACATAAGAATGAGTCAGGTGTGGTAACACATGCTTGTGTCCCAGATCATGAGGCTGCGTCAGCAGGACCGTGAGTTAAAGACCAGCTTGTGCTGTGTGACAAGCCTCGGTCTCAAAAGGCAAGGAGGAGGAGGAAGAGGAGGACGATGAAGAGAAAGAGGAAGAGGAAGAAGAAGCAGTAAGAGGGCTGCTCTGTGCAGGGGTGTGCCGTTCTGAGGCTATCCCCAAAGGCTGTCCACTCTTTGTTCTCAGCAGACCACATGCATTGCCAGGGCTTGACACTTCCCTCACTCTTGGCTACCCCCCTTCTGCTGCACACCAACACTGAATGTTCACACTGAGGACAGTGGCCACCAGCTGAAGGTCCACCATAAACGGCTCACTGTCTTCCACATGTGAGTTTCCATTTGTTACTTTATGGGGGATTTGTTTGTTTGTTTGTTTGTTTGAAGAAGTGTTTTCTTCTTGCTGAGACTTAGAGTTTTCCTGCCTTAGGTTTTTCTTTTAAACTCTAAATTGACCATAAGATTTAGAATAAAAGTGTCTATAGGTGATTAATCTGGAGAATCCCTTTCTTCCTTCCTCTCTTTCTTTCTTCCCACCTTCTCCCTCCCTTTTTTTTTTCTCCTGTGTAACAGTCCTGGCTATCTTGGAACTCTCTTTGTAGATCAGGATGGTCTCCAATTCATAGAGATCAGCCGGCCTCTGCCTCCTAAAAGGATCTCTTTCTTACGATGTTTTAAGGTTGAAAGAGCCATGTTCACACTGGTTTACAGCTTCTAACTAACAGATTAAAATCACTTCCCACCTACATTAAACCCTGTTTCATCCCTGCCAAGCAGGGAGCAGAGTTCAATCTCCACGGCGCTTTCAGACCAGCTTGTCAAGCTTCTTGGATTTAATTACACAGCCTTTAAGACACAGTGCTCAGACTAGAGTAAAGCAATCACTTCAGAACTGTTCTGTTCACTGGACTGGATTTCCACTTTTTTTTTATCGTAGGTAAAAAACAGAGGTGGGTATCTATGAATGGCAACATGAGAAGAATCTTTAGAATAGTCTCTGGTACCCAGCAGCAAATATTATTAGATTCCCCATTTGCCTCTTGCTGTCTTTAATCTCTGAGATACACAGCCCTTAAAAAAGCAACAGAATCTTCAGTGTATTTATATGGTTTGAGGTGTATCTGGTTGAGAACGGAGTGGGGAGTCATTATAGTTCATCAATACCACGAAATCTATATGGTAAAACAACTAAGATCTTGGACTTTAGATTCTGAAAGACTTGGGTTGCTTTCTCAGTTTGGCCACTTACATGCAATGCACACACAGACTGGTGCCTCAGTATCTCCATCTGTACAATTCAGCCAAGATATCTGGTTTATCAAAGTTGTGATTACATGAGCTCATGAATGCAGAAAACAGAATAAAGAGCCTGGTGCATCCTTTCGAGTGCCTAGTGTGCACTCAAGAAAGGACCAGCTACTACTGCCATTGTTATCAGGCGTGCACACCATCTGTACCATCACTGCCTCCACCAGCAGTACCATTGTCGTCATCATCACTAGCGCCATCACCATCACCACCGCTGCCACCAGCAACCGCAGCAGCACCAGAATTCACAAACACTGAGCACTTGTTAGAGTCAAAGCCCCGTCAAAAACACAGGAGTATAAGGTTTTCCCTTGGAAGACCATCTGAGATTTGAGAAGCTATCAAGTATGATGATAAATTGCACGCAGTCAAGAAATAACTGGCATTATTATCACTTTAATGAGGCAACGTATATTCCACAGTCATTCATTTTCAACTGCAGGAGTAATTCAGACTATCTATTTTTAGATATTTTTAGAGTGTCCATTTGCTTAGACATTTGTTAGCTGATTGCTCTTGTGTCTAAGTCACTTGTATTTTAGGAACTGGCTCATGGTCGCATCAAATGAATAGGTCGAGAACCAGAAACTCTCATTTGTGCTACTTAATTTCCGAGTTCACAGGGGCAACCCTATATCCAAATGGTAGCCCTTGTCACCATTAACAGCGCTTCTTATGGGGCTTTCATCCACTTCTCTGGTCTTCTGAGCACAGGCTTGTTCTTTTCCCCCAGCCATGGAGTCTTGTTAGCTGGTCCTTCCGACCACCACACAGAACGGCTCGTGTCTCGTGTTGTAAAATGTTCTACGCTTTCTATACAAACCGCTAAACGGTAGAGCACAGAACAGCGCTCGCACTTCGAACTTCGGAAGAAAGGGGATAGAAAGCACGTACACATGGGCTATCTGTTTCAGAATTTACACACGTTACAGCTCCGAAAGACCTTCCACTGTTTGGCCCCACTGGCTTCCTTGAGAGAGGAACATGCGCGCTCACAGCAGAGTTAATTCTTGGGTTAACCGAAACACACTCTGGCTTTGGCATCATTCCCAACAGCTGGTGCTTTGGCCCCCGGATTAAGGGTCACTGCTGTGTGGGCCACAGACCAATTTGGAAGGAGCCACTGGGGGGCTTTGTCCTCAGCAGATCGTTTACAAGATTAGTAACAAAGAGTCATGACCTTTTCTGAACGCTTTGGGTACTTCTAACCCTCGGGAGAGTCGGGAGTAGCAAGGTTTGTGCTGACAAGCAGAGGAAAATGGAAACAGATTTGTTATGAACCTGAAATTAACTTACTCTAAACATTCATTTCTGTTTCCAGTTGAAACGCATTCGCCAAAGCTCAGCTAATGCCAGCTTCGACAGAATCATTGAGAAGCTAGGCCATTCTTTTTCAAAACGTTAATTCTGGAAGCAACCTCACAAGAGGTAGAGGACCCTAAGTGGAGAAACCCTGTATGCTGTGATATACATCCCCCTTCCTAGGTGGGGGCGTCGATTTGCTACAGAGAAACTCACCACAGATACTTGTGAAGCAGGGCGAATAAAGACAAACACCATTGTCCAGGACGCTGTTTTCTAAGGAATTCCCAAGCTTTTGAGGAACGGTGGTGTGGCTTTCTAGCTACGGATGAATATTTGGCTCCACAAACACGCACGCCCTCTGCTCCTAACAGCCCTTTGTTTCCCTACAGGGGCCCTCAAGGGCTTGGATGCGGATTTTCTGCACCGCACCTCCCTGGAATTCCCAGCATATGTTGAGTCTATGAGTAACTGTCAGATGTTGGCTTGCACTCTGTCATCAGATAAGATCCCTTTCCTCCCACAAGCCAACTGGAATTTGAACCTGAAATACCCTTAGAAGGATATTTTCATTTTTACTCAGTCTTGCTGTGGCGTCAGCCAGCCAGGCAGGACACAGGGTCAGCACACACTCCCTCTGAGCCCGAGAGCCCAGGCCTTTGTCCTCTGGGCCTTACCAGCCACATCCACCCACCGCGATGCCATGCTGTCTAAAGGCCTTGCTCAACACCCAGATTCTTCTAACCTATTATTCTCAGGCACTTGGCTTTTTTTTTTCCCTGTAAAGTTGCTAACACAGGTGGCTATTTTTTTATTACATTTATTAATTATTTATTTATTTATGTGTAGATATGTGCGGGCCCCAGCTATTAGAGAACTTTTTTTTCTCCTGGAACTCACTCTGTAGAGCAAGCTGGCTTCGAACGCACAGTGATCTGCCTGCCTCTGCCTCCCAAGTGCTGGGATTAAAGGCGTGCGCCACCACCGTCTATAGAGGACAACTTTTGAAGATCACTTCCCTCCTCCATGTCCCAAAATTATACTTTACTGCCTAGAGCAGTGGTTATTAACCGGTGGGTCACGACCCCTTTGGCAAACCTCTGTCTCCAAAAATACTTACATTATGATTCATAGCAGTAGCAAAGTTATAGTTATGAAGTAGCGACGACAATGATTCTATGGTCGGGGGTCACCACAACATAAAGAGCCATAGTAAAGGGTCGCAGCGTCAAGAAGGCTGAGAACCACCGGTCTAGAGGATCTGGTTTGCCACTCTTTTCCAGGTCAGGAATATTTCTCCTATCTGTTCTTTCCAGATACTTGTGTCCAGCATGGGACAGCGGGGGCACTGCTGTCAAAGATAATCCAGCAGTTTCCACTCGTGAGAGGGAACCGCCTCCTGGATTCCTTAACTGGGAGTGGAAGTAAACTGCCACGGAGTCCCCTAGAAGGGGACCCTAGACGCCTTCCACTTTTGACTCCCTTCCCTCTGAAATGATGTTATGTGACTCTGAGTATACAGGTATATAAAATAGATATACAAATCAAACCTTTACTAAAAAGAAAACATAAGGAAATCTATTTAAAATCAAGCATGTTAATAAACACCTGTAATTCTAGCATTTGAGAAGTGCAGACCAAGGGTCATCTTCCAGCAAGGTTCGGGCCAGCCTGGGCTACATAAGATTCTGCTCAAACAGAGAGGAGGGGAAAAGAGGAGGATGAAGGGGAAGAAAACCAAATCTTCGGTTCATATAATTTACCATTTATTAAAGAAAAAGGAAATTTGCATCCTAATGAGGCGACTACTTAACACAACACAACCCTAAGACACATAAAATTGGAGGAATGAGAGTAAGAAAACAAAAAGTCTTAGTTTTTTTTTGTAATTAAACTACTGTATTTCTATATAAGCAGGAAAGTGTGTGTTCAGTAAAAACACTGCAATTCATAAATGTGAGCACAAGCATCTAGTGGCCATTTGAGCAATACCCACAGGGGAATACGGGCCCACAAAGAACAAGCGTTTCCCGACTTGCTATGACTTACGCTTTGCCGTCTTCTTCTTAAATACTTCATTCTTGCTTCCTTCCTGTAGTTTTCACTTCTTAATGCTTTTGCGACCTTGGTATACAGTAGACATTTTAAAATATGTGTGTCCTCGGGCTAGGGAGATAGATGGCTGAACGGGTAAGGTGTCTGAGATTTAAACTCAGGACATTAAACATGAGGACTTGAGTTCAGAACTCCAACGCCCCAGCATGGTAATGTGTGCATGTAATCCTAACACTGGCCCGCAAAGACATATGAACAGAGGTGAGCTTGCTGGCTAGCCAGTCTGCCCAAACCGTGAGCTCTTGGCTCAGGGAAAGACCCTGGATCAATCAGTCAATGGAGAACCTCTGCAGTGTTTTACAGAATGAAACTCTACCTCAAAAAAAAGAAAAGAAAGAAAAAGAAACACAATATGTTTAAAAGGGATTGATAAAGATAGGATTTCAAAATGTATCAAATTCCAAAAAAGGAGATAATAATTATTTGAATTAAAAAATAAATCATCAGACAAAAGCAGGTAGTAAACAACGAATTGGTCAACCAACCCAAGCAAGTTGTGGAATCCTAGCGGGCACTCTCCCACCTTTTGGCTGTGACAGATAGAAACATACGGTTTTTCCTGTAAGATGTTAGGTGTGCGGAAGCTGGTATTGTGACGCATGTGCAACCAACCTTGACGAATATAGGAATGACGAATACAGGAATGGACGAATGCTTCCTACCCTGGTGACTAGGAGTCGCTGGAAACTTTTGCAGGTATGACCGGTAAAGGTGAGGTTGTGGGATTGAGACCAGAGAAATTCCAGCAAAGAGTCCCCAATAAAGAATCTCCATGTGGATGCTGCCACAGGAACCAGACGGCAAGGCGGAAGGGGCGGGGCATTCAGCTTCAGTAGAGCCAAACATCTGAGCGCCTGGGTTCTGTTCTGTGCAAGCAGCTATTCAGAAAGAGGAGCTAAGGCATAGGAAAAGGGGAAAGGAGCCTGGGAATCGGAGGCAGGGCAAGGAAGAGTCTCAAGAAAGGTGGGATGAGTGGTAAAAGACCTCCGTGGAAGTGGTGGCTTCAAGCTGGCTCTCTGTGTTATGGGGTGCCAGTCTTGGCTCCCTTTTAGGGAAATGCGCACTCGTGGAGCACGGTCCGAAGCAACTGAAAATGAGAGACGTGCTAAGAAGACGTGGTAAGAGAGGCCATGGTGCAGGGAGGCGGGGGCACAAGGTGGCGGGAGAAAGCAACTCCGGGCACTCGGAAAGTGGTAACAATGTATTGAAAAGCATGAAAATCTCCTGATGGGGAATAAGAAGCAAGCTGTCTCGTGTTTCTTGCCCGCATGTGAACGAGATCACATTGGCACAGTCTCTCCTCGCAGCTCATTCACTGATTTCCCTCGGCAGTCAAAGTCATTCTTCTCCGTTTCCACTGAGAAGTCCTCCAGTCATAAAAGGCATGCTGAAGACAGTGGGGTGTCTTCTGTTGGCTACATCAACATCTCAAACTCCATCACCATGTTGCTTGGCAACTGAGGAAATATTGTTGTGATTCAACAAAAGTTATCTCGAGTAAATTCACAATGAAACAGCTAAAAAGCATTATCTCCTCCTACATTCCACTCGTAAGATAAGAAGGCACATTGGGCCAGGAAACAGAAACATACATACAACACGGCCAAGAGCAGGCAGGCCAGGAAATGCCTGGCCTGGGATCAGAAGTCCTGGGCAAGTCTTGGGTCCTTTGAGGCACTCAGGGTCTTTCATCAGCAGGGAGATCAAGTGTAGTTAATGAGCTCTGACATTTCATGAGTCAAAAGAAGCAGTAAAAACTACGAGGACACGACCAGTTAGTTGTCTGTTTGGACCACAGTGTCACAGGCCTAGTGGGGAAAAATCATCCACTCTCCACCGGTAAAGACTCCAAAGCTAATGCTTTTACATACACGCACACACACACACACACATGTACACATGCATGCACACGTGCACAGGCACACACACACGCACATCATGCCTCAGAAAAGTTCAGCGTCATCCTGTTGAGTCAAAGAGTCTCTCCTAGAAACTTCTTCAAGACCACTATATTGAGCAACTCAAGAGTCAAGGAATTCTGGAAAAACTACAGCAACTCCTTACAGAAAAGACAAACAATGTACTAACTGCCAAAAGGGAAGCGGCAGCCAAAACGGAAAAGTGCCGCAGTTGGAGACCATACTGTGGTGATCAGGTGTTAACGGTGCTGAGTTTAGAAGGGGAGGCTGAGGGCTCGGTTCTAACAGCACAGCTATACTAACCACCTTAACAGGGGACACCGTGGAAGAGGAAACAGAAAGAAGGCAAGAAGAGCAGGCTGGAGGGGTGGCTTGGTGGTTGTGAGCACCCACTGCTCTCCCAGAGGGCCTGGGTTCTGTTCCCAGCACCTACGTGGACGCTCACAGTTCCCAGGTGACCTGATAATGTCTTCTGGCCTCCATGGGCATTGTACGCAGGTGGTGCATAAACACAGACAGGCAAAATTCTCATATTGATAAAAGAAAAATAAGTAAACCTCTTTAAAAAGGAAGGATCTAAGATCCATAGGATAGGGAGGAACGCTGTAAAAATGTTGTCTTCTAGCCACATAATGTGGCTAGCTCAAGGTCTCACAGAGGCTGCGGTCACCTGCACAGGATCTATGCAAGAACAGGCCAACAAAAATACCCGCACTGATGGAGTAGACGATGTCCTGACCCTGTCCCTTACTGAGGAGCTGTTGGCAGTGGGTACTTGCTGGGGGGATGTGGCCACTGGTAAGCTTCCCATGCTCTATTGGAGCTCCATCCCACACACTTATGGATAGCTCTAACTAGATTCAGTGAGATACCAATAAATAAATAAGTTGGAAGGGGGACACGTTGAGGGTAGATGGGAATAGGAAGGGAGAAATTGGGGGACTAGGTATGGCCATATTTCATTCTACATATGTGTTCCCCATATATGAACAATTTCAAAAATAAAGAATATCTTTTAAAAAGATGTCAAGTTCAGATCCTGGCTCTGCTACTTACGGATTAGACCAGTGTTCCAGCTCTGTGTCGGGGTCTATGCACCTGTGAGCAGTACACACCCCTTAACAGGTGCTGTACCAGCAACAGTCACAGACACAGAATTAGCTGCTGTTGTGCTTTGCATGGAAGTCAACAATAGCGTCTCTGTTGTTGTTGTTTTACACTCTTTGCTTTTTGTCCTCCTGAAGACAGAGTCTCACTGTGTAGTAAGACTGGTCTCAGCCTGAGTAAAGGTACCTGCCGTTTTGCTTGATGATCTGAATTTATGGACCCACAATTTGTCCTCCGATGTCCACACGCATGCCATGCCACACAAGGACAGGACATATACGCACACACTAAAGAGATAAATATGGGTTTTTCAAAAAACTGGTGAAAAAATATTGTCAAGGCATATGTCAGAAAGGGGACTTGAAACTGCAATACCTAAAAAACATTTATGGTTTGATAATGAAAACTGAATAGCTTAATTTATAAGTAGGGGAAAGATGTGGATACACATTTCTTTTAAGAATATATATATGGTCAATAGCATGTGAAAAGATTCTCAGTGTCATTAGCCATACGACAGGGAAAATGAGAAGACATGCTATCACTTCAGTATTAGTGAGAATAAGAGGCTTGGAATTTTCATTCACATTAATAGTGGGACTGTAAATCAGAGCAAGTATTTGTTTAGAAAAAAATCTGATCGTTTTTCAAAAGGTTAAGATAAGATAGCATATGATCTAGATATCCAAACCTTAGAGATATACTCAAGAGAAATAAAACATGTGCACACAAAAACTTATTCTTACATCATAGCAGCTTTTTAATATTAAACAAAGAATAAAAGCAATTAAATGTTTGTCAACTTATCCCTTAGATAAATAGGTCAAAAGCTACTTATCTTATAGATAAGAATTATGGGTTAAGTTGTAAGAGCAAGTTAATAATAAGCCTGAGCTAATAGGCCAAACTATTTTTAATTATATAAGCCTCTGTGTGTTTCTTTGGGACTGAACGGCTGCAGGACTAGGTGGGACAGAAGTTTCTGTCTACATCCTGGCCTTCTCCCAAGAAGTTGTTACTTTTTATTTCCTCCAAGTGTCATGAAGGTAATTGAGGCAAAAGCAGTTGCTTTTGGGAAGCAACTGGAAAGCTGGGGAAGGTCCAAACTGGCTTAGTCGGTATTGGCCAGGGTCCCCTGAGAAACACTCATGGGGAGGGGTGCAAGCGGCAGTTGTCAGCTGAGAAATTAACTTCAAAACCAGTGGGTAGATTGTAATCAGCCAGAAAAGCCTGGATGTAATAAATGGATAGCATCCTGGGTGGAAGTACGATCTTGTGTTTAGAAATGAAATCTTGTGTTTTCCTTGGCCTTCTTTGTCTCCAAGAGACATGAAGATATGGTTAGAATCAATGGAACAAGGTGAAATCTTCTATACTAACTGAAAAAGTACTTGGGTGGCCTATATAATAAAATACTATCTTTGATGGTCAACTTGATATAACTTATAGTCACTTGGGAAGTCTCAAGGAGAGAAGAGACTACATTGAGTTGACCTGTGAGAGAGAGTGTGTGTGGGGGGAGGTGTTGTCCACATTGGGTAGTCCTGTGGGGGGGGCATGGGGTGTCATCTACACTGGGTTGACCTATGGATGCATGTGGGGGGTGTTATCTTCATTGGGTTGACCTGTGGGCATGGGGGGGGAACAGGTGTTGTCTACATTAGGTTGACCTGTGGGTGTGTATGTAGAGGCATAGGGTATCGTCTATATTGGGTTGACCTGTGGGCATGTGTATGTGTGGGTGTCATCTATATTGGGTTGACCTGTAGGTACGTGTTTGTGGGGGGTAGGGAGTGTCATCTACATTGGGTTGACCTGTGGGCATGTGTGTGTGTGGGGGGTGTCATCTACATTGGGTTGATCTGTGGGCATGTGGGGGGGGGAAGGGTGTCGTCTACTTTGGATTGACCTGTGGGCGTGTGTCTTGGGTGTCTTTATCCAGTTAACTGACGTGGGAAGGCATGGCCCACCATAAGCAGCAACACTCCCTACATTGGAAGATCACCCTGAACCGTGTAAGAATGGAGAACTTGAACTGAAAGTGGCAATCATGCATGTATACATTCATTTTTCTCTGCTCTCAACCATGCACGTGATGTGACTAGCTGCTTTCAGTTCCTGCCCCTTTGATTTTATACGAGGTATGTTTTCACAGCAACAGAAATGAAACTAAAACACCGTCTCAAAGAACTGGATAGATTTCATATTGTGCTACTTTTAGAGGCAAACAAATGAATAGAAATATCATTGGAAAATACTAATGGGGGGTGATATTACTGTTATTCAGCTCAAATTGGAAAAGAGGCCTGAATTTCCCATCTTGGAAGACAGGACCTCAAGCAAAGGGTTGCTTTGAGGACCAGCGTCTTTGGGTGATTTATATTTGAGCAACTATGTGACCTCAAGGCCACAAACTACAAAGGAAGAAAAATGTAAGAACACAACCCAATCACAAAAGTTTGTTAGAGGTAATTTAAGCTCCCTCCCAAATTCTTATGTTTAAAGTAAACATTTCTTTCAAAATCTTAACCTGAATTCTAAAGAAAGACCGACAAACTTGTATAAAAGTTTAAAAAGCATAGAAGTTCAGAATGATGAGGATTCTATGAACAAAGCCTCGAACTATCTTCCAGGAGAAACTTCCATAAGAAGAAGAGAAGGCAAGATCATTTTCCAGGATGGCTTTTTTTTAAAAAAAAAAAAAATCAACAATGGCTGCTATTGTTAGGCTCAAGGATGCCTTAGATACATCCTATATGATATTTCTAATCCTCGAGCAAGTCCCTGTTTACAAATGAGACAGAGAGCTTGAGTCAGTGAAGGGTCACAAAGTCTAGAGTTTGAAGTGCTTGTTGGGCTAGGCCTTGCATCCCGCTGCCATGCCTGTGGCCATCCACAATGGACCCCAGAGGCTGATCCATCAGATGTGACCGGCACTTCCCTCAGCTGAGCTACGTATGCTTCAGGCCTAACTGGGGCAGTTACGCTGCAGCAGTAAAATACTGAGCTGGGCAATCCTCTTTCTTCCTTCCTTCCTTTCTTTCTTTCTTTCTTTCTTTCTTTCTTTCTTTCTTTCTTTTTTAAAGTTTCTATCCAATAGAATAAAGTTTTCCAAACCAGACATGAAAAAAAATGATTTTTTTTAAAAAAAAGCCTTTTTTATTGTGGAAAATTTTAAATACAGACAAGTCAAGAATGTGGTAAAAAGAGTAACTTAGCTCTGCTCACCAACAACTTCCATCGGCATTTTGGCATCCTTATTTTATCTGTTCCTCTTATTTTCTGCGATGTTTTCAATGATTTCATCTCACTTCGTAACATTTTGGTATTGATCTTTGTATATAAAGATGACATACCCACAAACTAATTATTATTCCCAAGAAAAGTAATAATTCTCTATTATTCCTTAATGCATTATTTTTTGTCTTTAATTTTTCATTTATGTTAATTTATGGAATTGATACAGAAAGATTGTTCATTTATGGGGTTCCATGTGATGTGTCTATGCATGTATACACTGTGCAATATTTAAATCAGGTTAAGCATATCTTGCTCTTCAAACACTTATTACTTTGAGAAATTATTCAAAATTGTTTTCTTTGCCTGTTTTTGTATTTCTTTTTGTCTTTTGAGACAAGGTTTCTCTGTGTAACAGCCCTGGCTATCCTGGGACTCCTTCTGTAGATCAGGTTGACCTTGAACTCACAGAGATCCACCTGCCTCTGCCTCTCGAGTGCTGGGATTAGAAGTGTGTGCTACCACTGTCTGGCTTTTTCTCACCTTTTTGAAAAACAGAACTGCTTAAAAGATTTTTTACCTACAAGTTGGGTGGTAGTGGCGCATGCCTTTAATCCCAGAATTTAAGGGGCAGAGGCAGGTGGATCTCTGCGAATTTGAAGTCAGCCTGGTCTAAAGAGAGAGTTTCAGGACAGCCAGGGCTACACAAAGAAACTCTGTCTCAAAAAAAACTTAGATAGATAGATAGATAGACAGACAGACAGACAGACAGACAGACAGATAGATGAGGAAGAGTTTTAACTCACAGTTACCATCAAGGGAAGTCATGAGAGCAGGAACCTGAGGCAGCAGATCTCATGCATCTGCGGTCAGGAAGTGGATAGAATCCCAGTGCTCAACTCCCTTCCTCCCTGTTATATAGTCCAGAACCCGGCCTCGTGACCTCACCCACGACGGCCATGTCTTCTTGCCTTAATTAACCCTTCAAGACAGTTCTCACAGTCATGCCCAGAAGCTCTTCTCCTAGGCGATCTATGACCCATCAGGTTGACAACTGGGATTAAACATCACACCTATGTCTATAGGTGTATAAAACAGGTATATAAACCAAATATTTACCAATAGTATATCAAAAAAAATTGAAAGCGATCCTTTGATACATATATATTTTTACCATTAGAAATTAAAGCAATTTCACATACTAATGAAATAGATGTGGTTATTTGTCTAGTACAGTCCAATCCAAACATATACTAATACTGATACATACTGAAAATGATAAGAAGGAAATATTAAAAGTCTTCGTTTTCCACAATTAAATCACTACATTTCTATAAGCCATTATATTTCTAGAAACACTGCAGTTAATAACATATGGTAGTCTGAAATCTAAGCTGAGATTCTGGTGTGGAGAGAGAAAATACGCGGTGCCAAGCATGTGTGTTGTATGTTCAGAACCAAGGCTGCGGTGAAGTCACGTGACACGGCATGGGCAGGCATTCTCTGCCAGGCATCCCTCAGAGTTGGTATGTATTTGACTTTGAATTAAATTTGTGTTGCTTTGAATTAAATTTGTGTATTACTGTGGTAATAGTAAATAGAACACATTTACTATTACCCGTGGCTGCATGTTGTGATCATATCTAAGAAGCTCTGTAACAGACAGCTCACTTTTTCCGATATAACTATAACTTGGCAAAATGTTTTATTTTTGGTTTGACTCTAGTCCATACCTTTTAACATCTACCGGTCTGTTTAGTCCTGGGGAATTTATTTCCTGGAAACAATTACGAATGAGGGAATATTATTTCTAGACGGTAAAAGACATTTCTTACACAATGGACGCAGGAAGGCATAACCATTCAGGCAAAGCAAACTGCATTATCCCAGCCCTGTGCTTCATGCTAACTTGAAATTATTTCAGGGTTACACATTGATTCCTGCCGTTGCCGGAGGCACAGCCTGGATTTTCATTGCAACAGACAACGTGTGGATCAGTGAAGGAAACTGAATGAACGGAGTGGATGAGAAATGAATTTGTGGATTGCCTTAGTATTTATGTAGAGGATTGTTTCTGAAAGATAAAAATATATCCACAGCATAAACAATAAGATACTTTAAAAATATAGGATAAGTTTCATAGCATCCTTTATAATGTGAGGGATACCCATTTTGTGTTTCATAATTAATATGCAAAAAGGCTATTAACACATAAACCATATTTTCACCCTCTGTGGGCCTTATTTTATTTTTACTAACTTTAAACAACTATTTATGGATTTTATGCATGTATGATTTGCTTTTTGTGTGTGGCAGGAGGCGATCAGTTGACATCTGGCTGGGAGCTGTGCTCTTTTTCCACTGTGTGAGTCCTGGGGATTGAACTCACATCATAGAGGTTTTTGGCACCAAGCACCCTCTAGCCATCTTGTTGGTCCTCTAGGCCTCATTTTATTTAGCTTCCGAGTGGCGGTGTCAGTGCTGATGTGCGGGTAATGTTCTCGTAAGGGCCCTCCCACCAGTCATCTCTGCGGTGCACACTGTGGCCTGTGGCTCAAACACCTCTTCAGCACTGAGCCGCTCCTCCCCCACGCTGCCTGGAGTCTTGGTAACTGAGAAGTGTAGCTAAACTGTCCCCTGGGAACAGTTATTGACCCAAATTCATA